TATATATACATATATAAACACCACTATAAACAAAAAAACATCAAGACGGTTATTTAGAAAAGAAACTTTTCAATCTATTTATTGTTCTTGATGGGTTTCATTTAATATAAAATAAATCTATCAGTTCAATTCATGTTTGCTTATAGTTTTATTGTTATCACTAATCAAGTTTTACTTGTCTTGTTCTGATGCGTCTTATATATACATATATAAACACCACTATAAACAAAAAAACTTTATTTAGAAAAGAAACTTTTCAATCTATTTATTGTTCTTGATGGGTTTCATTTAATATAAAATAAATCTATCAGTTCAATTCATGTTTGCTTATAGTTTTATTGTTATCACTAATCAAGTTTTACTTGTCTTGTTCTGATGCGTCTCAGAAATCCAGGTAGAAAAATCAAAAAGAAAAAATAAGTAGGTCCTCTGGAAGGAAGAAGAACCCGTCCAGAGGACCTACTTATACTTTCTTTTTGATTTTACTTGTCTTGTTTTTGAATAGTTTGCATTGACGCTCATGTTTTACTTGTGTAACGTTTGAGAGAAGTTAATTTTCCAGTGTCGCTGTCTCTGCTGTTGTCTGTCACATTACTGGAAATACAAAGTAATTAAATGCTAAGAGACAAAAGATTCGTCCAACTAAAGCAGGACTTTCAGACCAGTTAAAGAAATTGGAGTTTAATATCAATAAAGACCACACGGACGGCTCRAGTTTCCCCCCTCAAACCCACATAAAGCGTCGCGTTCGGTGGGCGTACAAGAGACCACACACTCCCAGCAGAGACGCCACTCACTTTACAAGCGCACATGGAGGCCAAATGTCACAGGCTGAGTAGCCCCTCACAAAGAAACACACGGGCGAGAAATCAAACGGGGTTMTGGGGAGTGGGATCCTGGCCTTCAAGGACCAGTTTAGGGCACCACAGAAGTAGATTCTCCACATTTGAAATCCTCCAGAGATAAGAGCGGAGGAAGGTGATTAAAGYGCACTTCAGGGGTCCACAGATCTGATTTATTCTAACTGAAATTAAACTGGATGACATCTGGGAACTCCTGAAAGTTCAACTGGTCCATYGGTCAAACTTCCTTCTCATCGAAAATAATTTATACTGTTTTATTTGCAAAATTAAATAATCAAATAAAAAGAACACTTTATTCACTTATTCGATCCAAACAGTGATAATCCCCTAATAATTTATTAAAGCCCAATTTAAAATAAAAGACTAAACCTAAAGTTCCAGCAGCTCATCAATTACTATCAGGGCATTAAGGCATTTTTTGGGGGATATTTTTTTCTTCAGTCCTGTCAGCTACTTTATAGGTTTTTGAAGGTTTCTTGACACATTTTTTAGGTAAAACTAAATGTGTTAGCCACCAAAAATATGCATTTTTTTTTAAAGAAAACAATAAACTTAAAAAATAAATCTTAACAAAACCATTTTTAATTCACGTGCTTTATCTGATATATTCTTTTAAGAATTAAATATTTTATTYTTACAAGCTGTGACAGAAGACCTCTGATTTTAATCATTTTAAGCTACTTATTTTAAATTTCAAGTGACTTTATCAGGTAAAAATATACCTTTAAACCCATTTAAACACTAAAACTCAATATTCTAACCTAATAGGTTACAGTTTTCATTGCTAAATTTCCCATTTTCTCGCTCAGTTCAATTAACTCAGTGAAAAACGTGTCTAAACTCCGTCCTGCGCTGCGAACTTCATTTAAAAAGTCACCTTATTTAGATGCATCTTGAATATTCACAAGTACTTCTCGCTAATTAACAATATTTTACAGGCGTCCTAAATCTTTAATGTGTTGTGTAAAATTCGGCATAGACACATGCTAATTATTACTCACTGTATTGTCGCTTCAAGTCTTCAAATGTACCCAGAGAGGCAGCGTGGGGTGTTCAAACTGAGCAACAGCTGATCCTCGTCTAAGCTAATAATGACCGTTTGATTCAGGTATGTCTAATAAACCACTGAACCGACTATTTAACCTTTTGTTTATGCTCAGTGGAGCACTTAATCAAAATTGGTATTAATTTTATTAGCTGCAGCTGTGTTTGCTGAGGAAAAAGGGTCAGCTGAACTAAAAAAAAAAAAAAAGCATCGTTCACCAGCCAAGTTGGTAGATGTTGGTTTTGAAAAGAGTTAGCTTAAAGTTAATAAATGCTGCATTTCAGTTATGTTTTGATTAAGTTTCTCAACTAGGACCTGGTCTAACAGAAGTGATTCTCAACTGGTGGGTTGTGACCCTAAATTAGGACGTGAATACATTGTTAGGGGGTCACAGGAAAAAAGTAAAAATAAAAAGTTCTGATTGTTATGTCACCCACAAAGCTATAAACACTGAGTCTTTCTAAAGCCAATTCTCAGTAATATAACTTTTTTATTTCTTGCTTATTATGTGACATTACTATTGAGTGACTGTTAAAAAAGGCTGAAACGTTTATTTTAATTCAATCAAATACAATTAATTGAGTGTAAACTTTCCTCTCTAGTGTTGTCATTGGGTGATACTCTAGTTTACGATCAGGTTTAAGTTTTGCCATCTTTTCATTCAATAAATTTGAGAAGTTAAAACTTTATTAAGACATTAAAGATTCTTTAAACCAATTAAGAACGACTGTCTTAAAGTTTTCGCTTCAAAATTAGGCAACGTATCATAATCAAGGCTGCCATGTTAGGATTTAGTTTGTCAAACAACAGTCTTAGAAATTTCCATCACAAATTAAAAAAAAACAAAATTACATTTTGTTTTGAAATCAGTGGTTCTGATCCACTGAATGAGTCCTTTAAAGAGAAGAAAATTAAAAAGAAGAGAATAGAGAACGAGGTGCTATCATTCTATTAAAAATGACAATTTAAAAATAAAACACCAATACAGACTATTAAACTTCAATTAAACAAATTCAGTGATTTTTTTTTATGCAGAAATAAATTTTATGCCTCAAGTTTTAGATTGTTTAATGTTGTGATCTTTGCTTTCAAAAATAAAACTTGATTATTGGTCAGGGAATTATTTTGTGTTATGATTAAACGAAGCGATAATTGATTACAAATCAGTATTTTGTCACATTAGTCTGATAAGATGCTTCATTCTTTGTCAAAACAGAAGCTTTCATTATTACGACGGTCATGTTTTTATTCACTGCGTACCTGCAGGAGAAGAACTTTTGAAAAAAAAAATCTCACTCACTTTTTAGGAAGTCACCAGGCGACAAACTCCATCCATTGCTAAAAATGAGTGAATCCAGCCTGAGAGGAGAGAGAGAGGCAATTTTCCAAGGGTTTCTGGACAAAACGCGCTGCAGACCGAGAGCGGGGAGATGTACCGAAGAGGAGAGATGAAGACAGACTGCTGCTGCTGGCTGAGGAAAAGAGAAGTAAAATGACACATGGAGAGAGGAGGAGGAGGAGGAGGAGGAGGAGGAGGAGAGGGAGGGAAACCCAGGGGCTAAATGACATGGATCAAACTATTACTCCCATTCACAGAAAGACACTGTACAACAAATATACTCTGTTACCAAACAGACCGAAGGAACAGGAAGACGTCTTCATCCTTTAAAGTCTGTAAATGAATAATGTGATCACAGATTTAGAAAGGTTAATTAATGTCCCAGATGCTGTGATGGCAGAGCAGAGAGGGTGATTAATGTCACAAAGTTCAGCTAATAAAAGAGCTATAAATGACTAGAAGAAGACATAATAACTAATAAAAGTTTCACACTGCCAGCGTGTGAGACGTCACCAAACAAACTGAGACTTACGCAGCTGGAAACCACTGAACACTTAATATCTTACCTGTTGTAGATGCAAACGCCCATCTGCCACAGCCCCATCCATTATTGTACGTTTTTACAAAAATATGTGGTGATTCGATCAGAAATATTACATGACAAGTGCTACAGCTGACTGCAGCTGCAGCTAATAACAAAATTAAATATCTCTGTTTTGAAAAGCTGATGGTAATTTAAAGGGTTATCAAATACGGTTCTTATGAACTGCAGCAAAGTTTTGAAGCTGTAGTTGTTTTTGGATATCAGCCTCAGTTCAGGTTTCACTCTAACCAACGTTTACTGGCCTAATCAATCCCGGTCCTGGAGGTCCGCAGCCCTGCGTGTTTTACTTGTTCCTCTGCTCCACCTGATTTGTATGAATATTATCAGGCTCCTGCAGAACTTGGAAGAGGTGATTCACTGACTGAATCAGGTGTAAAGGTAAATCATGCAGGGCTGCAGACCTCGAGGACCGGAAGTGGTGATCCTAGCCTTTGACTCTCTTCTACTTTCAAATCACAACTCAAAACTCATCTGTTCAAGTTAGCCTTCTCACTTTAATTTCTTATTTTCTTTTAATTGTCGTGTTTTTTTATTGCCTTTTTATTGTTAATGTTGTGTTTTTAATGTTGTAAAGTGTCCTTGGGTGTTTTGAAAGGCGCTAACAAATAAAATGCATTATTATTATTATTATGATTTGGTTCAGACAAGCTTTTAGCTAGGACAAATCCTTAGCTCAGAGTAGCGTTTAGTTTGAGGTAAGCTTTATTTGATATTAGCGTTTAGTTTAGCTTTAACTAGTCCTTAATTTAAGACTAGCATTTAGTTGATTTTAGCCTTTAGTCTTTAGCTTGAACTAGCCTTTAGCTTAAAATAACCTTGAGCTTATAGCCCTTGGTTTGTATTATTCTTTAGCTTGGACTATTTGTTAACTTAGCTTGGACTGTGTTTAGCCCAAACTAGCCTTTAGCTCAAACTGGTCAATTTAGCCTTTAGCTTAGACTAGCAAGCAGCTGTAAGTCCAGTTTGAGTTTATTTAAATGTTTACAAACTGAAGTTGCTCATAGATCTATCTACAATAAGGAAGATAAAAAATATTCATAACCTTTCCACAGAACTCCACTTAGAAGATATGAACTATCCCTTATGGTAAAAGCTTTAGCTTTTATAATCCAGTGAATTCAGTGACAAATACTTTGGAACTTGTGTTGGTTTTTAATAAAAGTGTAATATCTTCCAAAGAATGATACAAAGTTCTGAGGAAAACAACAGAATGACACCTCAGCTGGTCCAAAGGTTAGAAAAATCAGCTCAGAAATCATAAAACATGATATCCTGCTTTTAAAAAAACAGCAATAAGAGTTTGTGCTGATCATTTGTTTCTTCCATCACTTCTGCTGTATGTTTGTTTGTCCAAACAGCAGGACTGCTGCTCACCAATGGTGTGGTCAGCAGTTCTTGATTTATTTTAGATGGAAGAATAGTCACCTATCATTACCGCTCAGCCTGTCTGCCTCCTCCTTTGTGGTTTCTGTGTGTGTGTGTGTGTGTGTGTGTGTGTGTGTGTGTGTGTGTGTGTGTGTGTGTGCTGCCAACACTTGTCTGTCCAGCTTCATCCTAAACGTGTTTGACAGCCCACCAGGACTGAAGTGAGGGTATGTGAGCTGGTTTAAGTGTACTTGCCTGTGTTAGCTCAGATCAATCACCCAAAAACTCTGATTTAATTTGTATATTTTGAACATATTCACACGCATCTGTCACGGGACGAAATGCAAATATTCACTTTGCTGAATGCATATTTCAGAAAGTTTTTTTTTTTAAAGCTAGTTTGAAAATTGTTTTCCTGTTTATAGTTTCTTCTGCAGGTTTTGTTACAATGAAACATTGTTTGGTAAGGAGAAATCTGCTACAGCTTTTAGTTTAGTAACTTTTGTTATTATTCACATTATTTAGATTTATTTACATACATTTCCACTGTTCTATTTGAAATTTGCTTCAGTGAACTTAATCTAATTTTGTGATTTTTGCAACTTTTAGCTTTTAAAAGTTTTTGCTGCTTTTAGCTTCATCATCTGTTTGCCTTTTGCAAGTTTTATCTTTAGCATTTGTTGTGATAACTTACTGTTTTGCCCCATAGTTTTTTGGCTACCATTTTAAGTTTTCAGGTATTGTTCTGCCACATTTAAGTTTTGACTACTGTTTTGCTTGTTTTAGTTTTTAACTACATTTGAGCTACTCCTGATTTATCTAGTGGTTTTAGCTACTATTTCTCTGCTTTTAACTGTTTTGCTACTTTGAACTACAGCTTCACATTGTTATTGCTCTAGTTTTAGCAGCTGATAGTTTTTAGTTCATGTTCTGCTTGTTTCAGTCTCTTGTTTGATTCAGCTTTGATAAATAAAAAGTAGCATCTTCAGCATTCACACAGCTGTTTCACAGAAAACACACTCTTTAATGTTGATCAACCTTCTCAAAAATGCTACAAAGAAAGAAAGAAAGAAAGAAAGAAAGAAAGAAAGAAAGAAAGAAAGAAAGAAAGAAAGAAAGAAAG